TGTGGTTTTTTTCCCATGCAAGGCAGGAAAATACCCCTCTGAGGCCTTGGCTCTGACAATGCTGAAGGCTTTTTTTTTTTTTTTTTTTCATGGGGAAGGCTGTTTTCATTGTTCAAACCAAACCTTCCGTGTGGAGAGAACATGTACAAATAAGGGCTAGATGTGGACTTGGAGCTTGGCTTCTGGCCTGGGCGTGTTGGCAAATTGGCCTGAACTGCAAGAGATGTTTTGACACCACAAATAAGGAATTAGACAGTGTGGTGATCCGGAGAGAGGATGAGCGGGTCTGCTTTTACAGGGCTTTTAAGAGGCTGCTTTGAAGATTTCCAGAGTGCTGCAGCTTAACATCACCAAGAAAATCTTAAAAATCTACTTTCAGAGAGCTGGCAATTTTGCTGTTTTAAAAAAAATATATAATCACTTAAATATATAAATATAAAATCAAATTCACCCTAACCTTAAATTTAAAGTAACTTAAGAAAATCTTGAACTTCCAGATATTAGTTGGGGGTTTATGCACGATTAAGTGTATTCTTTTATTAACAGCAAAAATTATGCTTTTACCAGCTTTTTTACTTTCATAAAGTAAAGCTCAGTGTGGTTTTATAAATTTCAGTCTCTAGCAATCTGTTATTTTATATCTCTATTTTAAACTTACATTTGTCTGACTCAAATACCTTTCATTCCTCTCTCAATTTCTTCCTAAATTCCTTACATATCTGTAGCTAATTTACCACAGTGGGGCACCTAAGTGCAGTTCAGTATGGACCAGCAAGAGTAGCTTCAAAACACATTAATTTATTAAAGGTGTATTTTTATAGTAGCAAGTGTAAGATACCAAAACTAATGAGTTAATTCTGTCATGTTCAGTCTTTCTTCATCTTTTACCTCACCGTTATAATTGTGAAAGGCTTTTTAGAATGCAATAATTAAAGAATAAATACACGGTTGGCCACATAGATGCTCAGTCCATATCTCTGACAGAACAAACATGCTTTTGAAAAGAGAGAGCAACTTCTCTGGTATCTATTTTAAACAAGGGCAGTTCTAATGATTGAAAAGTCAACTTCTGCACTAGAAATATTATCACTCAACTACCAGTTGGTACTGTGTCTTTCCAGAAAGCCTTTTTACAGTACCCTAAGAGACCTAAAGCTAAAAGCCTTTTTATTTTCTATTTTCTCTATTAAAAGCAGGTTCCACATTGGAAATCAATGCATTCAAGTATTTTAAGCAAGAAACCGTGGAACTTAACTCACTATAATAATGCTATAAGAAATAAATATCTTTATAACACGAGGGGAATGTAGATGAAAAACTGACTGTAAATTGGTGAGTGCTATACAAAATTGTGGGTAAATATAGCTAAGCATTGGAAAGAGTGGATTCCAGCCTCATTGGGGATTCATCCAACCAACTCATCACACTTTACCAGCTGTCCTTCATAAAGTATCCCTGATGCTCCAGTGGGCCTCGAAGACTCTGACTGCATGGAAAATTATACAGCTGCCATCACAGCTCTGCCCAAGGGGGCATTCAGCATTGTTTCGCAGAGACAGAGCTAGGTCCTGCTTATCTGCTGCACTCTTGGAATAATGAAAGTGAAACTAATCTGAATATAAATATTTTTTTTAAAGAAAATTCAAGTCGACACGTATTTGTATTTTTTCATAGAAATTATTTCCATAGATTGTGGGGAGGTTCTTTCTATGAGCACTTAAATGGGAGCTTTTCATTATAATATAATCACTTTATTGCAGGAAATCCCTCAGGCATAACTGAGAGCTGGGATCCACACTGCATCTATAGCTAGAGAAGCAATCAAAGAAAATTTTAAAGAAGAGTCTGAAGTCTTGTAATCCATAATAATATTACTAATTCATTCAGCATGCAAATATTATTCTGCTCAATATTCAGCAGACCTCTACAGCTCCACACTAAATTAACACAGGAGTTCAGAAAGCACTGCTAAGTGTGGCTTCACAACAGTGTAAATAATATTTGAGCTACACCTATGTCTTACCTGGAGAGGTTCAAAGCCTTTCAAACAGGAGTTTCAAAAGGCACTTTGAGTGTAAGTGATTGATCCTACCAATCCACAGGTGCTACAGGAACTATTAACATGGGAAATGAACTGCTGAGCAAACTCTGGCCTCATTACTACTTATTTTCCAAAGACTGAGTAAACCAGTAAATTCAGATTAGGCCACATTTTACCAAATTATAACATGCCTGTTGCCAGGATATATTTTTCCCCTGTTCCAGTAACTACTTCAGCCACATCCCACAAAATCACTATGACTTTAGAAGATAAATTCTGAAAGAGTTTACAAGCCTGGGAAGAACTAAGTTCCAGGCTTTTTTTTGCTGTTTCATTCATATTCACTCAGGACTCTTGCTGAGCCAAAGTTCACTTGGATCCTTGAAAGACATGTCCTGCAGTAATGCTTATTCCATTACTCCCCATAAAACTCTGCAAGAGGTGCAAACACCAAAGGATGAAAAACAAAGGAAGTTCAGTTAACTGTGCTCCACCAAAAAAGATGGTTGGAAAAGTGATGCTCAGGCACAGCAGCAAATTGTGGGGGTTTGCTGCAAATACCAAAAGATAAGAGCATGTATGTCCAGAATTTATTTGCACATCATTCCTGCTTTTCCATATAAGAAATGCTTGTGTCTCTTTCCTCTAAGAATAGTTACATCTTCAAGAATATCCTCTTCTCTGTATTTTAACTTTCTTCACAGAGCTTGGAAACACAAAAAGTAATGGGTAGGCACTTAGAACTAAACATATGCTTATATTTGTCATAAACCTTCAAAGCTTTTCTGCTATGGATACTTTCTCCCATGTGAAAATTTCCAAGTTTGACAAGACATATTTCAGGCAGATTCTCTCCTATAGCAATTTTTTCCCAAGCAAAACAAGTAAAAGTAAGAGGCAAACTTAGCGTGGGAATTCCTATTATGTGATCTCATTTCAAATTAAAACCCAGTAGAGTCTTCACGATTCCAAGGCTATGCTGATTGCCATTTGAAGCTGGAAATGTTTTTCCCTAATGCACAAGTGATGAAGTGCACGTAATGCTTAGAGGAAAGTTACCTTATCTGCAGTATCAGATATAGATTACTGCTGGAGTCAGCACGCCACACTACTTGGATCCATATGCTCTGTTCCAGTATGAGGAATTAAGTTTCCCTGATGTCATAACTCGAACAGATAATGCAATTAACGTCTCCTTTGAAGTTCACATTGACCAGGTAACCAGTAGAATGAGCTGGCAAAACTTTACTCAAATCACCAAAGCGAAATCAGCTCGCCCAAGCTGAGACCTCGGCTCTGATGTTCTGCCAATGCTGAGGGATCCTGAAAATGCTGAGTCCCTGTGAGATATTTATAAAGCAGTGTTTATTCTGCCATGTAAATATAGAGATCCTGCACTTCTGTCTGGCACTCCCCAGATGTGTCAGGAATATGCCAGAACTGCTGCATATTCTCTGAAGAGTCGGTTCCCTTGTGTACAACAGCTCTGACAGACTGATGGGCATCTGCAAATCCCAGACAAGGGACGGGGTCTCCTTTTCCTAACTCAGTGCTCCTCCTGGGAGCACAAACTCCCTGCAGGAAAAGAGGGCCTGACTGAGAGATCAGATATTTGGGCAAGACTAGAAAAAGGGAGAGATCTGTTACACAATGTTCCATTTGCCACCCGTCACTCTGGAGTACAAGGTTGCACGTGACTGCTGAAGTGCTGCTGAAGCTGGCTGCTCATTTTAATACAGAATCAGCTTGATAATCCTCTGCTGAAAAGGTGCAGTTCACAGCTTTGTAGGTTAGAATGGTTAAACAGTAGTGAGGCTGTGTATGATCAAGTGGGAAGAATTTTCTTGAGGATGAGACATTGATAGCTGCTCCTTTGGGACCCTTCAACCGGTGTAATTTAGAGTATCACGCTACAATTGACATGTTTATGATTGTGCCAATAATTCAAGGCTTCTTGAGGCATTTAAACAGGAGAGGTAACTAAATGATTAATTTTAGAAAGAAGAGAATGGAACAAAGCCAAGACTTCTATTTTCTTGAAAAAGAAAAGAGCCTAAAATGAACATCTTGGCTACTTTACAAGACTGGAGAAATATTATAGACTGAAAGACTGTTTAATTTCCAAAAGTGTTAATATTCCTTGGAGATGCAAATACAGTGATGAAAATAGAATTCTTAGAATGAAATAGAATTGTACTTGCACTAAAACAGAAAGATTCACGATCAGGAAAGTTGCACGAGGAGGGTAAACATCCCATCACTGCCAATGCTTTATGGGGACATATTTGGCACAAGCACTGAAAAAGAAACAGGCTAATAAATGATGATCAGGTAGACAACTTCAAAAACACTTAGAAGCACAGATACTGAAGAGTTACGATTGGTGTTATTAAACATGAGAATGTAAGGAGTTTCATTATACATACAATAGAAGTCCAACTAATAAAAACACTGCCACAATCAGACTGATAATTTAAGCAAAATCATCTATAGTCATAGTGAAGATTAGCTACCTCTATAAATATATATACATAACCCATATTGACTTACAAAGTAACATCATGTGCATCTCAAAAGGTCATTTCATACTCAAGATGCCCAAATACCTAGAAATTCTCTTGAAGCAACCACTTTGCACCTTCTTACCTCCAAGAGCATACATGTGAAAGTCTCCTTGCAATGCCATAAAACACTTGCTGATGTTGTGTGTCTTCTAAGGAGGAATTAATGAATTTAGCTCTTACAACAACCAGCACTTCTTTTACTCTCTTGCCAGCTTTAGCTACAGCTAGGCTGTTTTCTCTCCTTTCTTTGAAGACTCTTGGTTTATTATTTTTGGGGGAATAATGGCAGCACCATGAGAATTCTGTTCAGGTTTGAATCAAAACCTCCTCCTTTTGCTATCTGGGGAGCAATTCACGCAAAGTGCTCCGATTCAAGTGAAGTGAAAAGTTCTTACCTTCTGTTGGTGACGTCTTCAGATGTCTGCAGAGCCCCTCTGTTTCCCCATATGTCTCTTTAATTTTTACTACTGCCTCTGTCCCTCGGAGTTCCATGAGGGAGCGCAGTTCTTGCAGCGTGCACCCAAACTCTCCCGCATGGTTGGCCTCGTTTCTTTGGTTCTTGGAATAAAAATCGCTATTTGTCATGTCACCCATGGTGGCTGGTTTGTATTGCTCCACTCGTGGTAGTCGATACAATCTCAAAACTGTTTTAAAAATTGAAGGAGAGGAATCTTGAATTCCGAGCTGAGAGATTAAAAAGAATCCAGGGTGTGTCCGGCGAGCGACGTGGAGGATGCCTCTGGCGTGCAAGGTGTCCCTGACTGACTAGCGGTCTGCAGAATGGCTGCTTTCAAGGCTGCAGACCAGCTCCACTCCATTCACCATTTCCCATTATGTTGCACCCAAGCTGTGGAATCTACATGGTCATTTCTTCCTCTGGACCTTTGGGAAGAAGCAGAAAGGACTCATTACAGGAGTGGGAGACAGCGCGTTACAAAAGGCGATTTTCAAATGTGTCCCCTCATGGCAGGTGGACTCGTCATGTCAGAGAGGCTGTGCAGAGCCACGGTGAGATGTCCCCTGAGGTGCTGCAGCATCCACAGCAAGGATGACACCAGCTCTGCCTGAGATAAAGCTCTCCACAGCTAAAGCACCAATAGCAGTGCCGCTCACCTTAATGCCAAGAGCACCCGCTAAAGGAGATGACTCATGAATATTAATAAATGAGCGATTAGTCCGGCAGGCAGGATACACCTCCAGTACGTGCTCTGCTCCATACAGCCACACCAGGCTGTCCTCTGACCAGAACAGAGCCTCTGATAAAGGCTGAGAGGTGACACAAACGGGTTTTTGTAATGGGTTAAAGCAAAGCTGTTTTTCAGCGCGAGGAGAGTGGAAACGGTGGGAAAAATTAGAGCCACCATTACAATTGCAGAATGCATTTCAATACATTACATCTTGCAGCCCTGCCTGGCTGGGAGCACAGCCCAGCAAAGAGAAAACACTGGGGTGGCTGGGTTTGAACAGCCACAGCTTCTCCTCAGCCAGGCACCCACTGAGTCCTGTGCCCATCACACACAGGGTGGTGCTGGGTTCTTTCTTTTCTTTTTTTTTTTTTTCCTCTTTTTATTTTCAGTTTTTTCCCCCCCATGTGCAGTGTTGAACAAGCCCCATTTGGACCATCTGGGAGACAGCTGATTACTTGCTAAAACCAGCCTTTAAAACCTGTTTCCCCTTGCCATATTCTAATGAAGTTGGTTTTAAATACTGCTGAAACCAGCTATTATATTTGGCACGCAGAGTTTTGAAAGAGATTAAAGGTTTCCTTTTTGCCTCAAGCGGGTTAGTGAGAGTGCACTGTCTAATCTATAGGTCTCAGAGTAGTTTTTATAATAAAAAAAGATCTTTCAAAGGGCACACCAGCAGCCTAATGACTGACCAACCTGTCACAGGCAAAGGGCATATGCTGAACTTTCTAGGCACAGTAATACACAGTGGAAATGAGTACTCAGATAAAGCACATAAAGAGGATCCTGATGTGTTTGAAGTCCCAGTTTTATATTTGTACAACAATTTTAATCTCCCACCCACGTATAGTTGACATAGCACGTAGGCTTGGTATCTCCACTATCTGACTCTGTTACATTGCTCTGCACACGACAAAAATCAGGCCCCCCTGGATGCACTAATTCCTCTGCCCACAGTGGCACTGCCAGCTTTAGAGCTGCCCAACACACCTTGCTTGATTAGCCAAACTGAACCTCTACCAGCCCTCTCGTTTACAGCTTCAAAACTCAACATTTCTTTGATTTTTTTGTGGAGAGAAAAAATAAAAAATAAAATAAAAAAAAAAAAAACCACAAAACAAAAAAAAAAAAAAAAAAAAAAAAAAAAAAAAAAAACAAAAAAAAAAAAAAAAAAAAAAAAAAAAAAAAAAAAAGGAAAAAGAGGCGAAGTACCAGCTTCACTATGATATTACAGAATACTGCTACACCTTTCTTTCCTATTAACTGATACATAGTCTAGTGCTAATAACTTCTGCCACCCTGCATTTCACATATTGCTTTTCACATTCACTAGAATTTCCACCCAAAATGTGGCTTACAGGGAACAACAAAGAGAAACTAGAAGTAGTAATCGGCCTTTATTTGCCAAGCAATGGTCAAGGAGGAGATGCTGTGCCCTGTCAGCCACGCTAAGCTCTCCATGCTGGGCAGTGCTCACAGCCTCAATCCATCCCTAGGTAATTCCCTATGGATGGCACACAGAAAAGACCTGACTCACACTATTTATCTGTTTGTAAACAGGGTGGATCAGTATTCTGAACAGAAGTAGCACCAGCCTGCAGCATTATTTAAAAAAAAAAATTGCAGGACATGAATGTCACAGATGCTCAGTCAAACAGACTCCATCCCGAGGGGCATCCAACAGCCACGACCTCCTGGTCATGAGGGATGAGCTCCTCCTTCCTCACAGCAGCGTTCCAGACCCTTCCTGGTGTGTCATCCGTGCTAAGCTGCTGCTGACAGTCACATCAAAAATGCAGATTGAGATTTGATTGTGAGGTGTCAATAATAACGACGGACAGTTGAAATAGCAGGCTGCTATTTACTTCCAGTGGCAAAAAAAAAAAAAAAAAAATCAATCTGTTTCAAGATAAATACACTTCAAGATTTTGAAAACTGGGCATCTCAAACAGCCATGATGTTAAGAAAAAAAAAACAAACAAACACACAGTAAACCCCCCACACACACACTATTCACCTGGTCCTCGCTAGTCCTGTGAGCTTTTTTAAACATTCCTCTAATAAAATAAAATTATTACTATACTGTTCCATTGTTCCATAACACCACAGATAAAAGATATTTTCTGAGGAGACCCATCTACTGATTTAATTCATGAGGCAAAGGGTACTAAACACAAAGACTTTTTCTACATGTTTTTTCTGTAGGATGTCCATCCCTCTCAATCAAAGCAGCTCTTTAGTCTCACTGTGCCATCACTATAAATTAACATATTTGCTTCTATTCTTAGAAATTCGTCGTCATTTGTCAGCCACAGCAAGACAGTGCTGTTGCTTTTTTGCATGAGTCATTTGCCTGCTTAATTTTTAATTTCACCTTCAATTAAATATTAACCAATAAACAACAAATACGAAGTTTACACTTCCTTCGGTGCTTTAAAAACAAATCCCTCGGAGTTCGTGCTGCTCACGACTAACCTAATGCTTTGCCACCAAGGAAACACCACCCCCCGGTTTTTTTGAAAGGCAGATGGTAAAACACAGCGAGCACAGAGCGTGACTGACGTTATTCACTGATAATGCATCTCCCTAATCCCGTGGAACAAGATATGCAGCTTCCATCCGATCCTTGAGGCTCCCTCAGGAAAAGCCCGGGCACCCTGCCAGGACGTGTGCTGGGTCAGCACGGCTGCCACACGACCACCTCACCCCTCCCAGGCTGGGAATGTTCCTCTAAACAAAAGGAATGAGAAATTTAAAAAACAAAAAAAAAAAAAAAAAAAAGAGCTGTGGATGGCAGATGGCAGCGTTCCCATCAGAGGGGCTTTGCATCTCCCAGGATACATCCAGTTACCAGGAGTGGGTGAAACTTCCACCAGTCTCATCCACAAGAAATCTGCAAGTACTGCACTAGGGTTTGGGTGGAGGTTTTGTTTGTTTGTTTGTTTGGGTTTTTTGGGGGTTTTTTTTGAGGTTAGGGAAGGGATTATATTACAAAACACACCACATTGATATTTTCCAGATGTAGATACAGTATAGGTGAACTACCAAGCAATCCTGCTGTTAAAAAAGCAGGTGATACTGATACAGTTTTCAATCAAATCAAACAACAAACAGGATCTTATACCCTAATGGCCTAACAAATAAAGTGAGCTGAACTGCATGGTCTGGGGGCTGCAGTTCCCAAGGGATTTGAATCCCCCTGCTATGGACTAAACTACCTGGGGAATAACAATTCTGGCAGTCAAAGGGAACATGACCCAGCAAACCACAGGTTTCAGCATTGCCCTGGGAGTGGAAAACCTGCAGGGGGCTCAAGGACTTCTCCTTCCCTTTTCAGATGTGCCCTGAGTCCCTTCAGGGCCTCCAGGCCAAAATTTCTCCACCTCTTTTACCCAAGATCCATGGAATCTCTTTCAATCCAGGGACCACTGTCCATGGTGATGGTCAGTGGGTTTAACTTATAACCAAATGCCTCCCAGAGCACAAAGAGCCACCACCCTCGAATTCTGAGAGCACAACTTTTCACACCATCATTTCCTCCTCCACTGGGTACATTTGGGCTCATCATTCACCAGGAGAACAAGTTATAGCAAAAATGGTCCTCCTTAGACAAGTTCAGCAAAAGAGAAGCAAAAACTCCAGTGACTGAGGATCTAATTTCACCCACAAAGTCAGACTGTTCTCCCAGACAAAAGCAGTCACTTGTTTCTTTTTACTTATTCCTACCAGTGCTTCTAAATCAATAAAACTGAGAAAAAATATGTCACAAAGCGGAATTTGAAAACAACAATATGCTGTGGTCAAGGGACAAAATAGCAACCCACCTAGATCCTCCTTGGGTAGCAAAACACTTACATACTGGAAAAACAGAGAAAAAGACTGCCCTTATTTTTCTTATTGAAAAGTCAGAATATAAGTCTTCATCTTGGTCTGGGATTTTGTCAGTGATATCATGGGTTTTTGTTGTACAAATGCACTACAAACTCAAACTTTGCTGTTTGGTTGCTTTGTTGTTTTTTTGGTGTTTTGGGTTTTTTTCCAGAGTGGCTGTGTCTGGAGGAACAGGCTTCCATTCCTGTAGAGCCCAAGTCAAATATTTTTCATCTTCTAGCTGCTTAGAGGAAATGCATGCCAATTAAAACAGAAGCAATTTGGATGAGCTAACTGCAGGCCTGCTGGGAAAACTATTCTTTGATTTCCCTAATCAGGAAAAGTCTCATCTTGGAAGCTTGTAAATATTTTCACAGTGTGTTAGAATGTAGATATCATCACTATGTATTCTGACATCTGATTTCATTTGGACTTCTCCTGGCAGAAAAGTTAATAGCCATGTAATAAACCAAATTTCACCAGCTCAGGATCACAAGACTTGCCTTTCACAGCCCTTAAAAGAGTGGACAAATAACGGATTCACATTTTAGTGAGCACAAGGTACAAAACCAGGCTGCTCTGCAGTCACTGCATTAGAGACACCATTCCTTGATAGAACAGGATTGGAAGTAGATTTAATGGAATTTTCCCTTGAGTCTGAGCAAAATCCTCTGAGGGGGATTTTTCAGCCTGCAGTTCCTCGAACTCTGATGAGAGGTGCTGGTTGACAGCATATTGCAGAGGATGAAAACTACCAGCAGACCTCTGCAAGGTGAAAACAGCTGAGAAAGAAAACCATAACCTGCTCTATAGAAGTCTCCAGAT